GATAGATAGATAGATAGATAGATAGATAGATAGATAGATAGATAGATCAAGCCTAGACTCTTCCTCCTACTTATTCTCTCTGCCCACCAGCCCCACCTATCCCTCTCCTGCTTAGCTACTGGCCTGTCAGCTTTTTATTAGACCAATCGGGTGCCTTAGGCAAGCAAGGTGAAACAGCAACACATCTTTACATAATGAAACAAATGTTTCATAAGCAACATACCTTTGCATAGTTAAAGTAATATTCCACAACAGAAACTCATAGAGTGGAAGGAACCCCACCCCCACTCACAGTCCCTCATTTTGGGAAGGGGCCTGCTCTGATTCCTCACCAGAGATAATATTGATTTTTTTTTATGTCATCTGAAAGGTTTGGCATCTTGAAAATGATTTTGGTGTCCCGGAGCATGGCAAAAAAAAAAAAATGTTCCAAACTGTGACCTCCATGTTCACTCCATCCTGGAAAATGGTGCCAAACTCCAATCAGACTCATTCCCCCAGCGACTGGAGAGATGGTTCAGTGGTCAACAGCACTGCTGTTCTTGCAGAGGACCTGGATTTTGGTTCCAGCAATTACATCTGGTGGCTCACAGCCATCTATAACTCCAGTTCCCAGGGGATCTGGCACCCCCTTCTGGCTGCCATAGGTACCATACATACATAGGTGTGGCATACATCTAAACAAACAAATAAAATTTTAAATATCATTTAAAAGAAAGAAAGAAAGATGGACCCACTCTTTTGCCTCCCATGACTCAGAGAAATAACTGTTTTTTTTTTCCATTTCAGGACAATCTTGACCACTGGATGGGCTTTAATGGATTCTTCCCCCAAGAAGAGCTGTTTGACATTTGAGCACACGAAGAGCCGTATCCCGTCTTCTTTTAAAACAGAGCTTGGGCAGTCTATTTCTTAGAAGATTGATGAGTTTGTGCTGGCTGGAAAAGGATGTGTCTCAAGAGGATGCTGGGGAGAATTAAAAGAGCATTAATCACAAGACTAGAGTGCTGGTCTGAGCTCCTCTCCTCCTGGATGTGAACTGGACATGCCCCTTAACCTAGCCACACCCTAGGCTCACCAAAAATAAAACACCATGTAACCTTCTCTACGGCCCTGGAATTGTTTTATTAATTGATACAATGCGTATGAAAGTGTTCTGTGCAGAACAAAATTTAGCTTTTGATAGCTATGAAAAATCATCATTTGTGACCTGGAGAGAGTAGACTGACGTAGAACGTCACTGTGCTATTTTGGCATTTCCTAGCACAGAAATGGCAAACTTGAGCCTTCACCTATCTCTCAGCCAATGGCACAGCTTTGCCTTGTGCATCCCACTTAGCCCATGCTACATGGCATTAATCGTTTAAGTATTCTCTGGGGCTTTCACTGACTGGAATAGCACTGAGGTCAGAGCCTGGTCAAATCTTTGATTACTATGGGGTATCTGCAGCATTAACCTGGTAAGCTGTACGAAGTTAGTATTTGTTGGATGAAGTTAGTGAGAATAAGAACATGGATAAACTGGGTCTCGTGATAGTTAAAAAGGCCCATCCTATGAATAACATGCTAATGGTGAACAGAAAAACATGACACGCTTGAAGAAAGCATCCTCAGATCACATATGCAGCCAAGAACCTACCTAGAATACACAGAGAAGTCTTAATATTCAACAATAAAACTAAACTCCAAGCAATCCAATTTTAAAATGGACCCAAAACAAACAAACAGAGAGCCGTGAAGTGATATAGCACCAAAGAATACACCCAACAGACCAACAGGCACCCAAAGACGCTCGCTATCATTAGCCACTAGGGAAATGCACACTGGGACTGTGATCAGATATTGATACACAGCTACCAAAACCTGAAAGAAAAAAATGTGACCACATCAAATGGCGGCAAAAAGGCAGAGAAGAAGCATCATGTATACATTGGTAGGAACTTCAATGACACAAAACATATTGGACAGAGATATAACCATCTCTTTTAAAATTCAAACCAGACATAACTTACATAGTGGCAATCATCACCTCCTGCTGTATAAAAATGCTCTTGTACACTGTAAAGATTTTTCATTCATATTGGTTTAATAAAAATGGTGATTGGCCAGTAAGTAGCCAGGCAGGAAGTATAGGCAGGGTGACAAGAGTAGGAGAATTCTGGGAAGAAGCAAGGCAGAGACACAGTCCTCAGTCAGATGCAGAGGAAGCAAGATGAGAATGCCTTACTGAGAAAAGGTACAAGCCACATGGCTAAACATAGATAAGAATTATGGGTTAATTTAAATTGTAAGAGCTAGTTAGTAATAAGCCTGAGCAATAGGTCAAACAGTTGATAATTGATATAAGCCATTTAGTTGGGACTAGATGGCTGTGGGACTGGGTGGGACAGAAACTTTCATCTACAACCTCTGGCATTTATCCCAGGAACGTGAAAATTTATTATGGGCTGTGGAGATGGTTCAGTCAGGAAAGCATATGCCTCACAAGTGTGAGGAACTCCATTTGATCCCCAGACCCATGCTAAAAAGCCAGGAGGTTATAGTCTCAGTGACGAGGAGGCAGAGCCAGGATGATCCCTGGAGCTCCCTGGCCACCAGCCTAGCCTACCTGGTCAATAAGAGACCCTGTCTGAGAAAGAAAATAGATGGCCATTCAGGAAAAACACCTGAGTTTGTCCTTGGACCTCCACACACATGAATGTGTGTTGTGAGCAAAAACACCCCGTTATGATACGATATTATTATTTTATACCATGGTACAACAACTATATTTGACAGCTATAAAATAGTCAAGACTGGGGGCTGGGGAGATGGAGTCATGGTTAAGAGAACTGGCTGTTCAGGTAGAGGACCTGTGCTCAATTACTGACACCCATATGGAAATTCACAACCTTGTCTGTAAGTCCAGACCAATGGAAAATGATGTACTCTTCTTGTCTCCATGGATACCAGAAACACATGTACACAGCATACATGCAGGCAAAATACCCACACACAAACATACAAACATAACACATACATATAATCTTTTTAAAAATAGTAATGATTGGGTTTGAGATGTATAAATTCTTTTTGTCCCTTAAACACGGGAAAACCTGAGGCTTTGGAGTGGCACCAGGCACGTGGCTTCTGATGTTCTCCTGGGCAGGCTGTCCCCTGATTGCTGCCTGGCACAATCTGAGGCCCTAGCTGTTCTTTCTGCCATTCTGCAGCTCTCAGATTTACATGACCTCGACATGACATCCCACTGTGATTTTTTCACACGCAAATCTATTTCTATTTTTTCAAATGAGGTTGGATCATTTAGTCAGTTCTCACTAAATCTACATCATGTGAGTATTATACTGTCACTTTGTGTGTGGGGGTGGGGGTGGGGGCACATGTAACTCCGGCTTACTCCAAAGCATAGCCTGCCCTGCTTTCTTTGTGGAAATGCCATCATGGAGCCTTCCACACACAGAGAAACACCTCCTGAAATTCCTGTCAGATGTGAAACCCAGCGTACGCCTTTTCACACACACCCTGTGTTAGGTGAGGCTCCTCAGGCACGGAGCCTGGGATAGGAATCTAGGGGCATGTGATTTATTAATGAGCTGCTCCAAGGAGCAAGGGGGAGAGGTGCCCCAGAAAAAAGACCAGTCCAGGACTAAGTCCAAATCCTCCGAAGCCCATGTGGAGTTGTGAAACTTGAGTTGCTTGCACTAAAGCTGCCCCGACCTGTGGCAATGGGCTACTCATTATAACCCGCCAACAACCGATGCTAGGCTGCCCTGTGCCCTGCTGGGTACATGTTCTCCCGTGTGTGGTGACTTACAGAGCCAGTAGGTACTCACAGTCAGAAACAGGGCTGAAGGCACAAGCCCAGGAGAGGCCGTGTAGAAGAGCACGTAATACAGTCTTTCTGAAGAGTGGTGTACATGTCTGCCGCTGATAAAATACTTTTTCCAAAGCTGGGTTGAACATGAACACACACATCCGCATAATTGAAAGATAAATAAACATGTAGATTTGCAATTGGAACATGGAGTAACCTAACTCCAGGAGGATAGGTGGAAGCCTCTAGAACCCAGCTTCTTGGGATCTGTGACAGCACAGACGTGTTAACAGCTACAGCTTACCCTTCAGCACGGGGTCTACTATGGTGTGGACTAGCCAAGGCTTCTTTCAGTTAACAAAAGACTTCTCTGGAGTCAAACCACACAGGGCCTTCCTGTCAATAGCTCCATCTAGAGGCCGCAGGTGGGAATGCACAGTCCAAGTCATGCTGCTGTAGGAAAAACAAAGGAGCCAGCTATGCTTGGATGTAAACCGCCTGCAAAGGTTCATGTGAGGAAGTCTTGGGCCCCAGTGCAGCGGTGTTCGGAGGTGGAGCTGCTAGAGTGACCAAACGGGTTTTGAGAGCTCTTCATCATCCATGAGTTACCTGCCAGTGGGAACCCATCTTTGGCGGTGTATCCTTAGTCTACATCACGTCTTGTCCTTGCTCCTCAGCAGCCATCTCAATCATACAGCTGTGCAGCCGTGGTGTCTGTCCTGCTTCCCATCTTACCTCAGACACAGACAGCAGAGCCAGCCAGCTGTGGACTGAATCGCAAGCCAGTATTACCCTTTTCTCTTTGTAAAGTGTTTATATCAAGCATTTGGCCACAGCAGGGGAGAGCTGAAGCACAGACTGCTTCTGAATTTCTGCTCTTTAACAGCAATTTAGTGCTGTAGGATAATGCTCTTGTACCCTGTAAAGATTTACCACTTGTATTGGTTTAATAAGACACTAGTTGGCCAGTAGTGAGGCAGGAAGTATAGGAGGGGTGGCCAGACTAGGAGAATTCTGTGAAGAGGAAAGGCTCAGTCTGCAGTCACCACCCAGACATAGAGGAAGCAAGATGAAAATGCTGCACTGAGAAAAGGTATCAAGTCACGTGGCTAAACATAGACAAGAATTATGGGTTAATTTAAGTTGTAAGAGCTAGTTAATAATAAGCCTGAGCTAAAAGGCCAAACAGTTTATAATATAAACCTCTGTGTATTTTGTTGGTACTGAATGACTGTGAGACTGGTCAGGACAGACACTTCTGTCTACAATTCAGTGAAGATGTAGCCAGGCATGGTGGCACATACCTATAATTGCTATCCTAGATAGATGCAAACAGGATTAGGAGTTCAAGCCCAGGCTCAACTACATAGGGAATCTGAGGTCATGAAATCCTGTCTCAGAACAGCAAACAAGTGAGAAACTTATGTGTCTTGAGGTGATGAAATAAATAGACCAAACAGAAATAGAAATGTGGAGAATACAATTATTGTTTCTGGTAAGTATAGTACTTTTCTGCAAGGTATTTTTTTTAAATATTGAATATTTTATCATGTGGCTCTTTGTTTCCTACTACATTACGGCTTTTAAAAGCATTGCTGCTTTTCTAAGCACCATTAATTCTACCCTGCGACTGTCATGCAGAATATAATCACAGCAGCCTGTCAATCACTGCACGTGGTGTCCAGTCCTGGGTGCTGCTGCTGCTGGAGACCCAAATGTGAGAACAGGGCAATCTCATAGATGATCCTTCACAGAATGTTGACTAATGACTCTTACAGTCTTTCTTGCTGTGAGAAACTGGTGACCTGTAATAAAAGTCCAGACTTGGTTCATAACCTCTGTGAGCAAATCATACTACAAGGCTTCTCTGGAATCAGAGCTGGTGAAACCCACAGAGCTGAGTCAGCCACATCTGTGCTCAGAGTGGAAAGTTAACAATATTCCCAGAAATGTAACCAGGGCTGTGCATGAAGGTGTGCATGTGTACATGTGATTGTGTGTGTATGCATGTGTGTATGAGTGTGTAATGTGTGTTCACGTGTGTATGTGAGCATGTGTGTGTGTGTTTGCACATGTTTGTGGGTGGTGTTTCCTTCCTGACCACCTTCTAACTCTGGGTTATAATTTAGTTGCTGCGGTTTTATTCGCTGAGATCTGACAACAATCTTGCGATCAAACGGCAG